TCACCTGAGGATCCCCAAAACCAGCCCAAAACGCACCTGGAGACCCCAAAATCACCCTAAAAACTCACCTGGAGACGGCAAAACTCACCTGCACACCCCAAAAATCTTTTGCAAAACGCGAAAACTTCTCTAAAAAGGTCCCCAAAAAAACTTCGAAAAAAACCACCAAAAAATCCCCAAAAATTCCTAAAAATCCACAAGATCACTCTAAACAATCTCAAATTCAGAAATTGCCCAAAAATCTGAGAATTTACCCCAAAAATCTCACGTGTACTCACCTGGACACCCCAAAAATCATTCGCAAAACGCGAAAACCTCTCTAAAAACGCCTCAAAAAAACCCCGAAAAAAACCTCCAAAAAATCCCCAAAAATTTTGAAAAATCCACAAGATCCCTCTAAACAACCTCAAATTCAGATTTTGCCCAAAAAACTGAGAATTCACCCCAAAAATCTCACGTGTACTCACCTGGACAACCCAAAAATCTTCCGCAAAACGTGAAAACCTCTCTAAAAACGCCCCAAAAAAACCCCGAAAAAAACCTCCAAAAAATCCCCCAAAATTCTGAAAAATCCACAAGATCCCTCTAAACAACCTCAAATTCAGAATTTGCCCAAAAATCTGAGAGTTCACCCCAAAAATCTCACGTGCACTCACCTGGAAACCACAAAAATCACGCGGAAAATGCAAAAACCTCTCTAAAGACGTGCTAAAAAATCCCACAAAAACGGCTCCAAAAAATCCCAGAAAATTCCTAAAAATCCCCGAGTTCCCAAATTCCCAGAATTGCCCGAAATCGCCGGATTTGAGCCCAAAATCCTGACCTGTATCCCCGTGCTCGGGGCCGGGTGTAGCCGCTGTAGAAGCGGGAGCGGGCGGAGCCGTAACCCCCCCCCCGCCCCCGGAATCGGCCCCGGGGGAATCCTCGGTCGGTGCTGCTGATGCCGGGCCTGTTGGTCCTCTTGGGGATCACCTGGTTTTGGGGAGAAAAAAGGAGATTTTGGGAAAAAAAAAGGTGAAAATTTGGGAAAAAACGGTGAAAATTTGGTGAAAATCGGTGAAAAAATGGCGGAAATCGGTGAAAAAATGGCGGAAATACGACAAAAAATGGCGGAAATATAAGGAAAAATGGGAGAAAAAAAATAAAATTTGGAAATTAAATTTGTGCTCTTGGGGGTCACCTGGTTTTGGGGAGAAAAAAGGAGATTTTGGGAAAAAAAATGGTGAAAATTTGGTGAAAATCGGTGAAAAAATGGCGGAAATCGGTGAAAAAATGGCGGAAATACGACAAAAAATGGCGGAAATAAGACAAAAAATGGCAGAAAAAATGGGGAAAAAAAATAAAATTTGGGAATTAAATTTGTGCTCTTGGGGATCAGCTGGTTTTGGGGAGAAAAAAGGAGATTTTGGGAAAAAATTGGTAAAAAAATGGTGAAAATTTGGTGAAAATTTGGTGAAAATCGGTGAAAAAATGGCGGAAATACGACAAAAAATGGAGGAAATATGAAAGAAAAAGAGGAAAAAAAAAATAAAATTTGGGAATTAAATTTGTCTGATTTTGGGATTATGTGGTTTTGGGGAGAAAAAAGGAGATTTTGGGAAAAAAAACTGGTGAAAATTTGGGAAAAAATGGTGAAAATTTGGTGAAAATCGGTGGAAAAAATCCCCAAAAATCAGGAAAAATTGGGGGAAAAATCAGGAAAAATGGAGAAAAAATCAGGAAAAAAAATCCCAAAAAATCAGAAAAAAATCACAAAAAATCAGAAAAAAATCCCCCAAAATCAGGAAAAAATGGGTAAAAATCAGAAAAAAATCAAGAAAAAAATCAGGAAAAAAACCAGAAAAAAAAATAAAGAAAAAAATCAGGAAAAATCAGGAAAAAAAAGGGGAAAAATAAAAAAAAAAATCACAAAAAAACCAGAAAAAAAATCAAGAAAAAATCAGAAAAAAAATCAGAAAAATTCAGAAAAAAACCAAGAAAAAGTCAAGAAAAAATCAGAAAAAAATCACGAAAAAATCAGAAAAAACTCAATATAAAATCAGGAAAAAATCACAAAAAATCAGAAAAAATCAGGAAAAAATGAGAAAAAATCAAGAAAAAATCAAGAAAAAATTAGAAAAAAAATCCGGGAAAAATCAAGAAAAAATTAGAAAAAAAATCAGAAAAAATCACCAAAAAATCACAAAAAATCAGGAAAAAAAAGGGGGAAAAATACGAAAAAAATAAGAAAAAAAATCAAGAAAAAATCACCAAAAATCAGGAAAAAATCAGAAAAAAAGGGGAAAAAATCAGGAAAAAATCAGGAAAAATCAGGAAAAAAAATCAGAAAAAATCAGAAAAAATAAAGAAAAAAACCAAGAAAAAATCACAAAAAAATAAGAAAAAATCAGGAAAAAATCAGGAAAAAATCACAAAAAAATCAGGAAAAAATCACAAAAAATCAGAAAAAATCAAGAAAAAATCAGGAAAAAATCAAGAAAAAAATCAAGAAAAATTCAGAAAAAAATCACGAAAAAAATCAGAAAAAAAAATCAGAAAAAATCAGAAAAAAATCAGGAAAAAAATCACAAAAAATCAGAAAAAATCAAGAAAAAATCACGAAAAAAATCAGAAAAAAATCAGAAAAAATTCAGAAAAAAATCACAAAAAATCAGGAAAAAATGGGGGAAAAATCAGAAAAAAATCCGAAAAAATCAGAAAAAAATCAGGAAAAAAATCACAAAAAATCAGGAAAAATTCAGGAAAAAATCACCAAAAAATCAGGGAAAAATCAGAAAAAAATCAGAAAAAAATTAGAAAAAAATCACAAAAAATCAGGAAAAAATGGGGGAAAAATCAGAAAAAAATCAAGAAAAAA